GCTATGGTATGCTACGAGCAAGGCTGTGGGGCCGCTGAACCAGTTGCGTTATATTCGCCGGAACAGAAAACGCGCTGGTGGCTACCGGTGAAAATAGGAGACTTCCAAATAAGGGCTCTCTATGATCCGGGAGCTTCCACCACAGCAATGGGTAGTAATGCTCTGCAGATAGCGTCGGCACTGGGCATCAGGTTGGATACCACCCACGCGGGTACGGCAGGACTGCCAGATGGACGAAAACTGACAATCGTATGTCACGCAATGTTGCCGTTCACCGTAGGTGGTATGGCGATGCCGACGAGGGTAGCTATACTCCCAACCCTTGTCGATGAATGTATTCTAGAAGTAAATTATGTTAGATTGATTAGGGCGGTTCTTGATTCTGAAGACGATACGTTTTTGCTCAAGAAATCGCAAACCAAGATGAAACTAGAAGTAGTTAGTTTAGAGGCTAGTCCGAGATTAGCTACTATCGGACTAGCCGAGATAACAGCCTCTCAACAGGCAATATTGCAGAAGACCATCAGCGAGGCCTTACAGCAGGCCCCCGCGGAACTGGGATTTGCGGTAGGAATTGAGCAGGAGATTTGAATTGGTGATACGAAACCGATCAAGCAGCGCTACTATCCAGTGTCACACAAGGTCGAGCAAGAAATACATAGATTGGTAAAGGAAATGTTAGCCCAAGGGGTGATTGAGCCGGCAAATAGCGGCTGGTCGGGCCCGGTGGTTATGATACGCAAGAAGGATGGCTCATATCGATTTTGTATAGACTTTCGAAAGTTCAACAAGGCCACCGAGCCAAACGCGTACCCCTTACCATTTATGCAAGATATATTGAGACGTTTGCGAAACGCACACTATATCTCCACGTTCGATCTTAGTAGCGCGTATCACCAGATACCACTTAAACCCGAATCTCGACCTATCACTGCCTTTACCGTGCCCGGATTGGAACACTTCCAGTTCGTACGAATGCTATTCGGTCTCTCGTACGCCGATGCCACCTTCCAATGGTTGATAGATAGCGTGATCAGACCTGAGCTTGGCGATTTCGCCTTCGTCTATTTGGACGATATCATCGTAGTATCGTCCAAATTTGAAGATCACCTACGGCATCTTAGAACCGTGTTGGATAGGTTAAGCCAAGCCGAACTCTCGATTAATCAAGAGAAAAGCGTCTTCTGCGAGCCGGATGCTATATATCTAGGTTTGCTGATTAACCGAGAAGGAATCAGACCCGACCCTGAAAAGGTGCGCTCTATCGTAGAATACCCTCGACCAGGAAACGTACGACAGCTGCGTACTTATCTGGGGGTTGTTTCATGTTATCGACGCTTCTTGAGTGATTTCGCTACACACGCTCAATCGTTAACGAAATTAACGGGGAAAAAGTGCGAATATGTGTGGAGACCAGACCAAGAGCAAACCTTCGCTAAACTTAAGGCACTCATGATATCAGCACCGTTCCTCGGATTACCAGAATTCGACGGACTGTATGTGTTGGAAACAGACGCTAGCACTACGGGAATCGGCACCGTCCTGATTCAAAAAGTACGGGACGAAGACCGAATCATCGAGTACACTAGTAGAGTCCTTAACCCGGCGGAGCAGAACGACTTTGCCATGGAGCGCGAAATCTTGGCGGTCGTATGGGCTATACAAAAGTTCCGCCCATATATAGAAGCGTACCGATTCAAAGTCGTAACGGACCACAACAGTCAGAAATGGCTGTATAATTTGAAAAACCCTATAGGACATCTAGCCCGATGGGCCTTGCAATTCCAAGACCATACTTTCGAGATAGAGTATCGAAAGGGGGCTGACAACGTATTGCCCGATGCGTTATCACGCGCGTTCGAACCCGTGAAGGCTGAGGTCATTGCGATAGACCAGCTTAAAGAAAAGGACGACGCCTGGTACTCGGAACAGTTCCGACGCGTCGAAGCCAATCCGGAGGACTACCCAGATTGGAAGGTAGTTGGCAGGGTGATGTACCACCAAAATCCAAATAGTAATTACCAAGATAAGTACGGGTTCGAGTATACCTGGAAGCTCGTCGTGCCATTGGAAGACGGAAAGGCTGTCCTGTTCGAGAACCACGACATTGAGACCGCCGAACATTTGGGGCGAGAGAAAACCTTTGCCCGCATCGCCCAGTCCTACTATTGGCCTGGCATGTACGTCCGAAAATGTCAGATCTATCAGCAGTGTAAGGTTGAACAGCGCTTACCACGCGGACTCATGAGGGATCGGATGTTGTTCACACCTTGGCGAGTTGTGGCGGGTGATATTGCCGGACCGTTCCCGAGGAGCCCTCGAGGGCACGAATACGTATTAGTGTTCGTCGACTTATTCACAAGATGGGTCGAAGGTATACCAATACGTAATGCCAACGGTAACACGATCGTGAAGGAACTCCGAGAACGAGTAATCCTACGCTTCAGTACACCTAAGGTCTTTCTGTCCGATAATGGCATTGAATTCCGTAACCAGCTTGTAGACGGATACCTGAGGGAACAGGGGATAAACCGGACCTTTACGCCGATCTATACCCTACAAGCTAACCCTACCAAAAGAGTTAATAGAACTCTGAAGACCATGATTACCTTGTACCTGCATGGGAATCATAAACAGTGGGACCGAGTCTTACCTGAACTCGTGTTCGCATTGAATACTGCTATCCATAGCTTCACGGGAACCAGCCCTGCAATGCTCAATTACGGGAGGCAACCGGAAGCCCCGAATACCCTCCGTAGACAAAGGGACGAGCTTGCGACCCGAGAGGAGGACTTGTCTCGAATAGAGCAATGGAATGAACACATGAAGAATAACCGATTCGTTATTCAGGAAGCCCAAGAAATCGCCTTCATATGAAGGCGATCATTATTCATCTCTATAACCGTCAGTTCCTCTTAAGCGAAAAAAATAGAGTAAAGATTTGATTCCAAAGCATTATTATTCAATTGTTTTATATAATTTCTAACAATATATTTCTAACGCGTATCTAAAATATGTAATATATAATAAGTTCCTCCATTGAGACTTCTTATAATATTATTGTGTAAATAATAAAAAAGTAATTATTTATTCTCTCTAAATTGAGGATGTTTTGATATTAATATGTATTTTCTAAAATCAGAATCTCTTAATCCAACATCACTTTTAACGCGTTCATCACATTCAGCGTAAGAGTAAATATCTAGAAAACTTTTCATGTCTAAATCTTTGTTATTGTACTCTGAGTGAGTATCATAAACCTTTGTCATCTGATCTATCACGTTTTTTAGTGTAAAAACCAGTTATTGTATATTCATCGTAAAATGTGTCTGACTAAGATTTTGCTGTTAACAAAGCGTTTCCTTCAGGCAATTCGGAAGTTTAAGGTTCTAAGTTATCTCTTTTATCGACCATACTGTTATCATTATCAAGTTTTTCAATAAACTCTAAATCGGCGTTTTAGAATTCATTCAATAAATCATTTCGGGAATACAAATTTCAGAATAAATCGAGTTATTGATTTTTAACCACGTTAGAGCATTTCATATTTTTTTATGTCAACGTATTCTTCCTAAATGTTTTTGTTTTTCGTAAGAATGTTTCTACCTAATATATGTAACTCATGAGAAATATTTAATGGATCAGTATCTTAACATATTAGCATAGCAAAGTTTATTCCAGAATTAGAGGTAAGTGAAATATTTTTCCCACAAGAGTTTGTCATGTCGAGCATAACAAGGTAAATTTTTTTGTAACAGTATTTTTTCTTTGAATAACTTAAAATGTTTTACCACACTGAATTAAAATTTTTTCATATATATTCAAACATTTTCATTCAGTTAGAATAGGTTTAAAATTAAGATTATTTAAAAGACATGATGTTAGTATAACATTTTTTTTATAGGATTACTCACAGACTATACGGTAATCTTTTCTCTAACCCAACGAACGCATAACGAATAGCTATAACTGACACTGGGGTCAGTAAAACAGCTCGGCCATACACGTGCAAATGCGCTATCCGAACATGCATGAAATAGAGTGAAAGAGAGAAAACACGGAGCATTGACCTCAGCTGTCGACGAACTTTGCTACTTCTCGCTGCACTTGTGCTATAGTTACTGTTACACTGACTTCTGCCCACTAGCATCGTCGACCGACGAAACCGGAGACTCTGTTGTTGCCTGCTCTATTGACCCGTTCAGCTGGTCGTCTGGCCTCAGTTGATCGTCGTCGACCTCAAATCGCAAGGCCACGCACTGCTCGCTACCACGCGGTTGCTAGCCATCGCCGTTCTCCACTCCATCATGACCGCGACCCAGCCACAAAATAGAAAACCAACGAATTCTTAAAAATTACGTCCCGCACACTGGGCATATATGCTCAAGCGAAAAAATTTTAACCACTGACGAGACTGCGCTCGAAAATCGAAAACTAAATATAATAAAACGAATGAAAATCGTCGACGTGCACGATGCGACGGTCTAGATTATATTCTACCTAACTCTCTTACTCCCCTCAACTATTCCTCTCTCGATCCTGCGTTCGCTGTTTCTCCTCATCTCTCGTCATCGGCTGTTCCTGGATTCATCAATCACCCCACTCGCCGCACCTCAGAGAAAATCTGCATGAGAATACGTACATGCACAATCTCAGCCTGAGATGGCAAACGAACGATGGTGAAAATCAATGGATGAATCGGTCAACCGTGATTCTACTTTACAATTTAGATAGCACTAATTGTATGCGCTATTAAACTAACTGTAAGGTTTGTAAATGTACTTAAATTTCTAATTCGATATACTTATAAAATCAATCCGTAAAAATATATAAACAGATGTTTGTTATATAATTAAATAATTTCTGTTATAAAAGTATATAATTTAGTAGTATATATCGTTTTGTCGGATATATTTTAATATATGAACAGATTTCTTGTTGATTTTAAATATCTTATTTCACGGGAATCAAATAGGAAGATATTTAGAATCAGTACTTACATTGTACATTGGTATTGATAGGATTCTTGCTTTCAACACTTAGATTCTTTTGTTCCATCGACGTTGTATTTTGCTGTATAATAACTTGTGGAAAAATATCAATTGGACTTCTTTGATCCGTAGATACTGCCGGCTCAATAATATTCAAAGGTGTATTACTGCGGTATGACTTCAGTTCATTAGGATTTTGTATTTCCTGCAAAGGGTACTATGATTGCAAAATTTTCTATTATTCAAAACATTATTGAAAAGATTAAATATGAAATATAATTAACGAAATTTTGTAATGGGACGAGGGTTATTTCTTGTCGTTACCCGATCTTGAAGATAGAGTTGGATGTATGAAATAAATATAATTAGAATAACAATCAATCTTACGCACTTCAGCAATTGGGAACGAGGTAGAGCAAGATGGTGTGTGCACGCGCGACTGCCGTCTCAGCTTGAATCATGGGTTTTCACGCCGACTGTTTGTACTCGAAGTCCAGACCGCGCTGGATATATATGGTGCATATTTCACCTAATCGTTTTCATGTAATTGTTTTGATGAATATATTTCTAAACGCGGCTTGCAAAAGCTGATAAATATCCTCCAAGCCATGAGAATGTGGCGAGCGTCAGTGCTAATCAAAGACACGATTGAGTTTGTCTCACAAGACCTCACGTGTGACATGTCCGAGGCTGTGATTCGTCATCTTTGACGGATAAAGAAAATTGGGTATAGCCTATATTATGGGAAGTTCTAGTGTAAAGACACAAATCAGAGTTCCGATATACCACGTATTTTGCAGAAGAGTTTTCTCTTGCTAACTAACGATAATTACTAGTGAAAAATGACTACTATTTATAAAAAAATTCGAGAATCCGTTATCTCTAATATTTTTCAAATGGTGGACATTCATCATTTATCTCCAAAGCCTTTTTATGGTAACTCCGACACTATTTCAGATATTTTTTACAGTAGTTTTAACAAAGCCATTTTCAAATAAACACATTAAAGTATCTTTTAGAGTCCACATCAATAATTTTAACTTTTATCTTAATCTCTATTCATAGCTTTGAAAATTGTCTCCTGATTTTGCAAAAAATGCACACATCGCTATTAGGCAGTAAAAATCAATTACAATCAATAGTAACTCCAATTCTGATGAAATAAATGAAAATTTCAGGTCAAAAACTGTCGACTAGCATCTATATGTAATGGTTTTTAACGATTCATAGATATTTTTTAGATGTAAATAAAAAATTATATATCGCGACAAAAATTCATTTACATCTCCGAAGCCTTAATATTTCTCATGCGCATGCACATTACAAATGCATTAATAAGATAATTTGCGAGAGTATTTATTACTCTTTCATATTGATATGTCATAGTTAATACTAATATTTTCGATATATTTACTTTGAAATAAAATGTTAAATTAATTTCCAAAGTTTTTTTTTCGAAATTAAATTTATTATCTTAATGTGGATTTTGTTACAAAATTAGGATGTTCATAAGAATATTGAAACTGATTTAAATTTAAAAGAAGTATTTAGGAGGATTATAAAAATAAAAAAATTAAGTTTATACTAAGTTTTAATTTCGATTTATTCATAATAATTTCACTAACAATAAGTACAATATATTATAAAACTAAACTGAAACAAAATAACTTAAAAATATACAATTAAATACAACAATCTACAGTTTTATTCAATAATAAATATAATTTTAATAGTAAATATAATTTTAAATATTGATAATTACTTATCCATATAATTTACATTCAACGATAACAGACTAGGTATTTCTATGAATATATTTCTATATAATTTACTTATATTTAACATTTTTTATAATAGATTTAGCTTTCTTTATAGGTTTTTTATAGATTCTCAATTGTAGAAATTTTACGCTTTCTGATTGCAAGTGTCATGCGAACTAATAATAAAATAATATAGTTATCTCCTGTAGCTATAAGAACATATGTCATATACGTGTATTCGTTGCACACGCGGACCGATCGAAGTAGAAGATATAAGATAGGCCGAAACAAACAAACTGTACGTGGTAAATACATGCTAGACCAGAAATAAAATAGAACATAGATAGCTGCAAACCTAAATAAACAATTAAGCTATATGAATCTCTCGGTTCCCAGGATATACTTGTTCCTGAAGGAAGTGGTAGGGACTTATCTTAAGTTTGTGAGCCCCCGAGAGGGACAAGCGCATTCAGTCCTGTACACGATCTCGCCTTGTGAAGACATCTCTCTGGAGCTCTGTCACTTTATAATAAAAATTATTATTATATAACTGCCGACTTCGACGCCTAGATTCCTGCAAGTACCCACACGCGCCTTATAACTCAACCATCGCTACCGCAGCGTGTAAAACTAGCCGTTTACTAGCCGTAAAACCAATCATCAAAATTGGATGACAGCAAGCGAAGTTCTTCTAAGTATTAATGATTGCAATTGTCATTGATGCAACAAATGTTACAGTTCATTTCATTGAATTTAATAATATTTTCGTCAGTTTTGGACCAGTTAATCTGATACACCTTATCGTGCCAGAGAAGATTAAGAGATCTTTGCGTAGTTCTTCATCAACTATACTTACGAGGTCTGTCCCAAAAATATCTGACCTACGTTCATATCTTCGCGTAGAGAGACTCAGACGATCTCTGAAAGGTACGAACGTCACCAGCAACTCCTAACCTACCCTACAGTAGCCTGAGGTACCGATGAAACGCCTTAGTTCCCGGTCAACGTGTATTTATTTACAACATTTTTTTGCTTTCGTCACTATTCGTTTATTATTAAAAATAGTAGAACAAATCTAACAGCGAATTTGAATAAAATTTTACTTTAATCTCGGTAAAATTTGTGCAGGATCGCAAAGCGTTCATGGAAATGCAAAAAGGCGAAAATGTTAAATGACCGAGCTGACACATACACATGATCATGCCAGCACATATAAAGATCCAGAAAACTAATACTACACCGCTCTTACATCAAACATACACTTTCTCTCAACGGTCAGAGTCGCCTAGCTGCTTAAACCACAGCTGCAAGCGGGAAATACGAGCAGCCAATAATCAACTGTCGGCGGTTGCTCGTAGATGATGAACGACGCCCTGAACGCCACACTGATACTCGGTGGGACTATTCCCGTTCATACACACACGCGCACACTAGAAATACGCGACTGGAGCGACGACCGAGAGCTTCAGTAGGCAAAACTCAGCATCAGCACTGAGAGCGAAGCGCACATGGACCAGGGGCGACGGACATTTTGATGAGCCACAACAAGTAGATAGACTAGAGAGGGAGAGGGAGTATGAGCTAGAGAGAGAAAGAGAGTGACTAGAGAAGACAGCGAAAGACTAAAGACGAGCGCATATAACCGACCAACATCTTTTGAATTATTTGTATTCGCATTCGAAGTGATGTATATAAATGTTACCTGACACCTACTGACGAGCGAAAAATGATTGCAAGAAGTTTATTGTGAATTTCAATTCGACTGCGAGGGCGCTGGGTAATAAGTTAGAATAACAATTGTAAGAAAAGGATGACTTAAATTAAAGAGTAATATGTAAAATAGATTTGTAATACTGCAGAAAAGAAAAATGCGACTCGAATAATGCGAAAATAAATGTAGGCGATTTATTTTCGGTATACGTCTGATAAAGCGACCAGTAACTAAATGGATATTACGGACCGATTTGAACTAACAGATTCAAAATTCTGACTAATTGCACCACTGACGGCACTTACTGATTGGACCAATAGATGAATACGGAGAAAAATTAGATTTCCGTCTGCATCGGATGTTAGCGCTGAGTAAGTGTAAATTCCTCATATTAATTAATGCTTATCAACTTAGTAAGGGGGTAAAAGAGAGTGAAAAATCGAGACGACGAGGATATTCGAAGGGCGCTACCGATATCCGAATTTTCATATCAACCAATAATGGGGTTTCTTCTCGGAATAAAGAGGAGAAAGACATTTTCGTTCGTGGAAAGCCGTCGCTCGTCCATTTTACCACTGGTTGTAGCCTTAGCCGCGCGCAGTCATTAGACCCTTATAAAGACTTTGTGATTTTGCATGAGAACTAAGCAACTTCGAAGTTAGTGAGTAAAATGCCGTTCGTTTAAGTGATAATCAAGTGTTACCAAGCGTGATATTCCTCACATTATTCATTCGGCCGGAGCACGTGGATCCGTCACCGACATACCATGTATATGATCATTTCGACCAAATCGTGCTGACTACCGCCATTTTCTGACCAACTTAAGTAGATGATTTTGGTCTGTTGTTAGAAATAAAGAAGTAAATTATGAAATTGATGTCATCAATTTACTGTTGCCTTACTAATCGGAAATCTCCTGCATGCTAACCTGATTTATTTTTAGCCGTGGTAGAAATTTACAGGTGAAGCGTTCCGAGTTTTTAACACGTTTTCGCTCTTATAGTGACATAGCCGCTTGCATGTCATTATCCGCTCGTACTCTGACCCGGAAAGAAGGACGTGTTAACCAAGCTGACTGATTGCGACCACGTAGGAGCAAGGTGTATTGCAATAGAGGAATAATACGAAGATATCCGACCGGTAGCAGTGAAGATGCTCGTATACGCATACACTGCACAGATACACGATGCGCAGTAATTTCGCTTTTTTCCGACTCGAATCCCCGACGTTCGCCGATTTCAGGAACGGTGGTCTGGCGCCTTCAATCAAGTCGGGGAAACAAATCGCTAATGGCCATTGAGGGGCAAATTAGCGTGTACGTCTTGAAACGAATAAATTTTCCTCCACAGAGTTTAGAGTTTTTGTCATGCTTGTGAACATGTCGCAAAAATACAGATTTATTTTGATATTGTTTTTTTACAAAATAAACATTTAAAATTTTAATTTTTCTCATGGGTCTTCATATGTATTTTCATACTATATTTTTTCAGAACTATTCCACATGTACAGCATACTGTTAATTTATTATGTACGTGTATTTTCCCCGTTCTTGTGCTCTAATAAAAACGAATCATTTGCACATCGCTTGGAACAAATAGAACATCTCCTATATAGAGTTTCGCTTTTTCTATAATGTACATACCTTTATAGTACTCTATAAAACTTTCTTTCTTAAATTAATATTTGATCATACTACCTACAAGTGTGACATTTTTCTATGTTGTATAATTTTTA